TGTTACTTACTGATGAATAAATTGTTCACTTTATCCTTTATTTTCTTGTTAATAATTTTCTAACGAATACTGACCACCAAACTTTTTAAAACCTTCTCGAGGTCATTCAGGATAGTGACCCTGACAACACATGTCAAGATCAAGGTCATTGAATACGCTCAAAATTTATTGACAGATTGTGATAATAGAAATCGAACAAATTTTATTATTTTGTAACCATTTGAATTGTGATATTATTAGTACTAATTTTGAAAAATAATGTTTAGTATTTATATTATATTTATTTTTTATTTTAAAAGAATAATTTTCAATTGTTTTAATAGAGAAATTAATGTATTCTTTATTACAATTCTTTAGCACAAATAAATTTTTTTAAAGATATATATCTGATTTGGTTTTTATAAGTATCAGTAATTTTTGAAATATTAGTCTCGGTCTACAATAGATGATTTAAGCTTTAAGCCATAAAAAATCGACGAATCATAGTCGAAGAATAGGAGAATAATCGACTATGATTAGACAATTTCTTATGGCTTAAGGCTTAAATCATCTATTGTAGACTGGGACTAATACTTGTTAACTTCCTTGCTATAAAGATACACGTTTTACACTAAATGCATACATAAAAGACGTTAAATACGTCAAATAATAACATATCAGAATTTTATCCATAACGATTTCAATGATATAAAGAGTCTGACAAGTTTTATACGAGAAACGGACGCAACTTAGCAGCAATCTTGCAATTATATATGATATTTAGTAATTACGCAGATTTTTCTCGATTTCTGCTGTCAACCTGTTGTCAAATTGCGCATATTTTGCTTGCTTTCTGCCGGCAATCTATAATAAATGATGCATAATTCCGAACAAATCCTATTCAACTTCTGCTACCAATCTGTTGTGAAATTATTGTTTAATTGTTAGCGGATTTTATAACATTTCTAACATTCTATCATTATCTGATATAATAAGTTTTATATACAATTTGTGGTCTTTCTGCTGACAAAAAATTTGACAATCTGTTCGAATAAACTTTAATAATTAGAAGAGATGCCATTTTTACAATATGCAATATATTGCAAAGAAAGTGAAAAAGAAATGATTAGTTTGAGCATAAAAATAGTTTCTATCTACTGAAATAAATATATTATAATAAAAAAAATGTGAATTATTTATTTTCAATATTTTTAAACTATAACTAATCAAGAATTATTAATCTTGCAGTTGATTGATATTTGATTTTTTTCTTTGCTTATCTCTGCTCAAGTTTAATCAACTTATAGAATAAATTACATAAATTTTAGCTTTATGTCTTAAAACGTTTTTCCTTCTAAGAATTAATTATTTAAATTTCGTTTTTTGCAATTCTCAACTCATATATAGCGATGTAAATTCTAATTAGTTCTACCTTGAAGAGTACTTGAAGTGGTTAAAAGAGGTTAGAGTATAAATTTACAGATACGTATGTATATAAGTATGTGTATAAGTATATAATAAGTATAAATAAAAATTACATGCAAAATAACTATTAATGTTATCAGGAAAGTACAGCAAAATGTAATTCATTGAAGTTCTCTCTCAGACAATAAACTCTAAAATTAAGTCATAAGATGTCTTATATCTCAATTTGGATTTTGTCTAGGATGATTTTTCATAACAAGTTCTCGATAATGATCAAATGGTTGATCTGTTTATAAAAACATGAAACAGTGACAGTGAAGTTTATAACAATACGTATAATAAAAGTTTTTTTTACAGAGTCTTTTTTTAAAATCTTAAGCTAATCTCAATAAATGGAATAATGGATATAAACATATTACGTTACGTTATAATTTGTAATTCAATCATAGTCATATTGCCGGCGTTGTTGGTTCTGTTGGCGGAACCTTATTTACCGCTCATATTCACTCGTGCTGTCCGCTATGGAAAATTTTGTGCAAAGGCCCATCACCCTCTAATAGAAAAAATCGAAATGCCCAAAAAGTAAGTTACCAGATTATATTATATATTATATTATATATTTTTCTGCAAAAACTAAATATTTACTATAAACATTTACTATAATAATAAATTTACTATAAACATTTATAAAAGTACTTTTTATGTATTACACTATCCATTGACAATGATGATTATGATAGTATAGATTATTTCAAATTTTTAGATGTTTGGGTCATTTTTATCTTCTCTCTGGACCAATGTTGATCGTTTTATTTTATTTAGCGCTAAATAAATACCTTTATAATGGAAATATACCTGAAAATCTGCTTTCATTACTAGATATATTATTAGGAGCATCAAGAAAGCCCTTAGGTATTTAAAAAATTAAATTTTTAAATATATATATACAGGACGTTCCAAAATTATCCGCTTTTCATTGATAGAGTCTGTGGAATATTCTAACGGTGAATTCAGTTGAATGCATTAATGTGCATGGGTGCACCTTAAAGACTGTTTTGTATATAAATTGACATAAAAGCATATGCATTGCATATAAGCGAATTGGACCGCGAAATGCTCAATGTAATTAATTATATTGTTTATAAAAATTTATATTGAACTTTTTATGAATAAAGATATTTAATATAAAAGAAATTTATATTCTTATGTCTAGATAGATTAATGTACAACAAACTTTAATCTGCATCAATACGCATTAGCATCCAACTGAATTCACTAAGACAAAAACTTTTATACGAAAATGTTGAAACTATAATAATTTTTAAACAGCATTTAAAGTTAATCAATCGATTTATAAAGAAATTGTATAGCAATGAAGATACTCTTATATATATATTAATTCGATTATTTATATATTAATTTTTTAGATATCATATAACGTACATTTTTTCTTAAACATATATTATATAGTACTTCCAAATTTGAGAAATTAATTTCTCAATGGAAATGACATATCAAGTTAAATGCTAATAATAGATACATTAGCATGAGATACAGAATATGCGAAGTAATGATAAATAGTCGATTGCTTTTACATCACTAATAATGTCGATTCCACCAACGTAACTTAACTTTAATCAAAGTTCAAGTTACTCTTCATCTTTTTCTAGTTCTAAAAATTAAAAAAAGATGAAAAGCAAGTTAAACCGAGATTAAAGTAAATTTATGTTGGTAGGAGTACGTTCAGATTCCACACTCGATTACTCTCATGTATCATTTTATCCTTGTTGTGCATTGAATGTTAAACAATAAAATAAAATGATGCATGGAGAATCCGAACACATCATAAACTGATATATTTCTCTAGCATTTCCTTATAACATACATATGTACATTTTTTTTACTATTATTAGTTATACATGATGCTGGCTGCATATAATATGACCGTTGTTTTATTCATGCTGAATACTAAATAAATTTACTCTATGAATAAATCTTTCATTATATAAATACATTTGCATTGCATAATGTATTTTCTTACAATGAAGACGCCTCACTCCTTTGAGATCATCTCTCCTTCCACTTTTGACAGTTCTTCTAATGAAGTTTTGAATGATGTTTCTTATACTGAAGTAATGTAATAAAGTTTTTATACTATTGTGTATCTTCAATTATTTTATATTTTTATTTTATTTATATTTGTTAAAGATAATATAAAGATTTAATAATGTAATTAATATTAATTATATTATGTTACATTAATTTTACACACACACACACACACACACACACACACACACACGACAC